AAATGTTGTTTTCCAATTCTTTTAATGATATTTACAACAGCAAGACTGATTTTAATTTTACAAACATTGCCAGTGATCTTATCTGTCGGGTTTTTCCATCATTGAAGGTATATTTTGTGAGAGTCTTTACTCAGATTCCATAGTAAACCAGCTGCATCTTTTCTCATTCTATTTTTTCCTCGTTCCAATGAGAAACCAGAAGTCTTTGACGAGACTGTAGCTCTACTGGTGTGTACGAATAACAAGGGAAAAGTAGCACTTGGATTTGAACTTTGCAACTAGCAGCAATAAATAGAATTATGTATCTAAGAGTAGTCTACTTGTGTGCCAAGTTATATTGAAATCAGACCAAAATCGTAGGAGGAGTAGTGTTTTTTTAAAAAAAAATCTATTTTTAGTAACCATGGCAACACCATTCTTAGAAATCCAAAACCGATGTACTAATGTATGTATCTTATTGTAGTCTACTTTTGTGCCAACTTATATTGAAATCAGACCAAAACTGTAGGAGGAGTAGCATTTGAAAAATTGTTTACAGACAGACAGACAGACGGAAGGACGGACGACGGACGCATTACTATCGCATAAGCTCTTCTTGTCTCTGACCAGTAGAGCTAAAAAAAATTTTTTTTTTAAAGTAATATGGAAACAGGGCAAAGCATAGAATGAAAAATAAACACTTTTTTAAAGGGAGATCAACAAGCGATAGATTTCATCGGGCGGGAAAAGAAATAATACAGATGCAGCTCCATTGTTTCTGGAATCTTTAACCAGTATTTTGGGCCCACGAATGAAGGTTAAGATTTTGTTGTTGTGAAAGTTAGAATTAACAAAACCCAGAGGAATCCGAACGAAGACACACAAAATATTCCATGATGAAAAAATAAATTCTGAAATCAAAAAGAAAAAAAAACAATCTCGTTGCATTTTGTGATCAATTGATTTAAGGTATACAATATTAATTTAACAACTAAAAATTAGAGGAACAGGAGAGAAGAGAACAAAAATCAGATACATATGTTTTTGATTTTGTCCCTTCTAAGTTTACAGATAATCTTCCCAATAAAACTAAGGAATGTTAAGTAGGCTCAAGTGTATTTTGTCTCAAGATTTGTACATGTAAAATTTATACTATGTACAACTACTTGCGTTTTGCCATTGCCAAAGTTGTACATGTACAAAATGATACAGGTAATACTATTTAATCAAAAAATTCTGCGTACATACATGTAATAGAGTTATTTGTACTTGTAATTTGACGGCTCATATCGGCCATCGTACATTACCGCTACATGTAAAAGTATACATTACCGCTACATTGCCTCTTTCGTTAGCCAGCCACTAACATTAACAAGTGTAAAGATTGATGATGTATGTACATGCATATAATCTGTTTCACCTACTCACCACTGGGAGTTGAAAGAAGGACTTCAAGTGGGATTTTTTTTTATTACATGTATTTAAAAATTTATTTTATTTTATACGTAAAACGCTATAATTTTTTTTATAAATCAAGCACTGTTCATAGATAAAACCCATAGTCTTCAAACTGTCTTGCACAATCGGTTAACTTTGAATGGCATTTGCTTGACATTGCTTTTAGGTTTTTTTTTGTTTTTTTTTTGAAAGAACACATCGAAATACAAAATTCCACATTCAAATGCACCTCACATATATGTATACACCTCATACAAGAAATCATGGACTGGGTATTAATATTAAAATATTTGACACAGTAAAATTGCTTACATTGAGAAAAAGTCACAAATGTTAGGATGAGAATTGTAAAATATCGTGCTGAATTCTTTGAGGTTGGAACTCCTATTCCTTACCGTACATGGATGATTCGATATGTAGCGGTAATGAGTTGTTTTCGACCAAAAAATTGTAGCGGTAATGATCGGTCTAAAGCTTGAAAAAAATGTAGCGGTAATGAATTGAAATTTTTGGCGATGTAGCGGTAATGTTGACCTTCCAAATCCTAGATTTGTCCTTACAACAATACAAGCTGATTGTAAGTACTTGGCACTGTTACACCACTAATTTAATGATCAAAGAATAATTTATTTATTCTAATAGTTACACTCTTTACACTTTAAAGTCACCCAAGAGGAGTGTCTAATTTTCTTTTGAAAAATCAAATCTTATTCCTAGACAACGTACGAACTTGATTTAATTTCAAATAAAACTTGTCAGATTTTTCTCTCTATTAAATGCTTGTAAACTTAAAACCGAATATTCGAATCATATATTTACATGCAAATATCAACTCATCGAATGAATATATTCGAATAATCGTTGACATCCCTAGTTAAAATTGAACCAGTGGTTCTTGAGAAGTTGAAAATGTGAAAAGTTTACAGACGGACGGACTACGGACAACAGGTGATCGGAAAAGCTCACTTGAGCTTTCAGCTTTCAGCTCAAGTGAGCTAAAATGACATCCCATCCACAAAGACACCAAAAGCGGGGACAACAATTCTTTGAATTTGCTTGTTTATATTAATATGGAAGCATCATCAGGTAGTTGAAAATTCATTCCCCAGGTAGTTGAATATTCAATCCCCCCAACACATTTAAACTTCAATACTGAACTAATTATTGCCTTTTTTTCCTTAGCCAATGTGCTCGGGTGAGCGATGTGGTCCATGGACCTCTATGTAAACATCTATCAGACATAAATATGGGTTGACCACAAGATTAAATACCCATCTGATGCATAGTTAATTGACAAAATGCTATTTTGGCAACTTCTAAAATTCTAATTCAAATTGTATAGGAAAACAAGAGGCCCACGGGTCTTAAGGTCACCTGAGTATCATGTAACAACTTTCCAGCAATTGAATTTGGTTCGTGTTTTAAACCAAAAGCCATGAAATTCAATTTTGAAAGAGGCACCATTGCTTATCATAATTATACATTTAGCATGCTTACTTCGGTTACTTAATACCCAGAGGTAGATCAAAGTAACAAAGAGAAAATGCATTTCCACTTTTTAGCCACCAGTTGTGCACCATACCCACACATTTTTGCCCAGATAGTCTGAAATATGCCCTATCAGACCCCTGTAAGAAGATTGTGAAATCAGACGTTCGGCTTGAGAATGAACCTTATTTTAGAATTATCAATTGATCTATTGCAAATTTGTGTAATACTTTTAATAAAGATAACCTTTTTGTTATTTTAAATCAGTAAGTCATACTGATACTGGAAACTTTGAGTAAAATATCAAGTAAAAATAGAACATACATAGCGTCGGAATTGAAAATTCACATGTAAATATCCAACAGATTAAAGTTTTCTTAAGAGAAAATGTATCATTCAATTTTTACAACAACAAAAAAAAAACCCCAAACAGAATGATTCAAATGAGTCCTAGAATAAAATGTGAAAAAATAAAGAAAATTGAACCAGTGGTATTAGATATTTTGGCGATTAAAAAAAATTTCCATGGCAGAAAAGCTAAAAGATTCAGTAGATGATGTCACAATATTTGACCTTTGACCTCTTGATATGACCTAGACCTTTGTAGTACATAAAAAATGGAGACTCCTTATATATGTGTCCAAAGCTATTTATGGAACAAAAGTTACACTGCATTTTATAATAGACTGTTACATGCTTGTTTATTGCAGCCCGGAGGACCGGGCTGCTCTATACATATAAGTTTAAGTGTTGGCGTATGGGGATTTGGGTGGGAGTAGTTATTCAGAATTAAAGGTTTTCTAAACATTGAAAAGATTGTTAATCAGAATGTTCTTTCCCTTCATAAATTACAGATACATAATATATTAACTTCCATAAAGTGAACCTGTAAAAATATATATGTTTTTCATATTTAATGTATAAAGTTGCTTATCGTTTACTATCGAAAAAACGACAGGTCCCTTTTTTTTAGAACATTGAATTTTGCTTCTCGCATAAAAACGTACTCTGCACAGTTCGTGTTTTATATTATAAAATTGAAAATTAATACATTTTTGAATATAGGTGATGCATGTGTCTAACTTCAATTTATATTTTATGCAGCCAACATTTACTTGAGGAATTGATCAAGTTTAAAATGGTATCGTTTTTGCTTGATTTTTATCCGACTATAAGTTTTCAAAATATTCGCGACTATCGTCTCCATCAATTAGACGCATGCTTTTTCACGCATATCGAAGCGGCTTGAAGATGAAGACTCATTTCCATTGTTTGCTTTATATATTTCCCGGGTGACAATTGATGGTTACATCAATGTTTTCTTGTTGCATTTAGATAGCATAAACACATTCCAAAATGTAAGTTCCCAAGTGACAAATATATAGGATTCTCTGATTTCTTCACAAAATATGACGCAAACATGCCAAAACTTATTATTAGCTCACCTCAACGAAGTTGGGGGAGCTTATGTAATACATCGGCGTCCCATGTTAAGGTTAAGTTTTTTGGGACAGTTTTCTTTTTAGGTACTTCTATATCCTATATTGATTAGACATGAATGGACGATGTTCCTAGTGTGTTTCATTGTACCAGTCAAAGTTTCAGATGCTGCAATTTCAGCAAAGGAATGACCAAGTTAATATTTTTGGAGCAGGTTAACGTTTTTGGTGCAGTTTTTGGTGTAGGTCTCATTTCCGAGTAACTATAAGCCCTATGTTGACCAAACTTGCATGGATACATTTAAGGGTGCACACTACCAGGCTTGCTTCGGATGCTGAATCTGACCTACATTTTCCGCACGAGTGAACAGGTTAATGTTTTTGGTGCAGGTCTCATTTCCAAGTAACTATGAGCACTATAATGACTAAACTTGCATGGATGATACATCTAAGGATACATACTACCAGACCTGCTTCGGATGCTGAATCTGACCTACATTTTCCACATGAGTGGTCAGGTTAATGTTTTTGGTGCAATTTTCATTTCCAAGTTACTATGAGCCCTATAATGACCAAACTTGCATGGATGATCATCTTAGCAAGCATACTATCAGACTTGCTTTGGATGCTGAATCTGACCTAGTCTGGTCCCCTTCCCACAATTCCGTTCGCGCACTCTCTACATTGAGGTCAGGCATCGGTTGATTCACTGTTAGACGTTGCGCAATTTCAAAATGGAGGACAAAGTAAGTAACCATCTCGAGAAATAATTGCTCATATCTATTTGTTTTACATCATGACAACTATTTCATCAATGCTTACTGTTAACCAAAGTTGTTTTCTATTTATTTTTTTATTTATTTGATTTATTTTGCGTAAATTTACACTGTTATCACTGGATTAAAAAATGTTTACATTTTAAGAACGTGGAGGTAGTCAAAATTGACCCCCAATATTTCCTTTGTCGTGGACCGACATCAAAATTTTATTGTCTAGTCTAATGTATATATGAATGATCTATGTTAGGATATACAATGTTTTATATGTCGCTCCTTATTTAATATAGTAAAAGCACCCCAGATTTTTTATCATAATTCTATCAACAATTAGCATGTGCTCTGGCCTACTATTGCATATATCTGACATAAAACAAAGGTTTAATGTTTCTATACTGTTTGTATTTTGCTGTCCATGCAATCATCATATAAGTTGAAAAGGGGATGGGATTAAACCCCCAGTGTATTTATTTTGTTTTATTATGATTCCCCTAGCTGGTCCCTTAATTTCCTTCCACTTTACCCAGCATAATATTTACATGATAGCGTGAGTCTAACGTGTAATTTTCATGAAGGCTTGTGGAAGTGAATCCCATCACTATACAGATGTTTAGCAGTTAGAGGTGGTGCTACTTTGGTAGGTCACCACAATCTATTAATATCCTTGCATACATAATAATTTTTCATACAACTGTAATGCCAACTTGCCAAGGCAATACATTTTGAAAAATGTACCAATCCTTTTTATGTTGTAACAGGTTCATTATAGCTTTCAGATAATCATAAATATCTCTATTTTGTATGTTGGTTTTTTTTTTAGGCTTTTCCATCGTTCATTGCATAAATTTCATAAAATTTACCAGGATACCGAAAACAGATCCCCTGTATTAAAGACATGATGGTCAGCCAAAAGAGAGTATGGAAGCCCAACAGGAACAACCCCTCTACAGCCCATTTATAAGGTGATACAGTTTAAACTTGCAGAGTAATTTGTTTAAATTAATCTTGCACACCTTAAAATGTTTGTCCTTTTCTCCAAGTCATTCCATGGTTGCAATCTTATTTTAAGTACAATTCAATGAACAGACAACAATGATAAAACCGTGAAACAGATTTATCAGTTCAAATGATATGAGCTATGAGGAGAGTAAGTCAAATTAATTATAAATTATTTTACAAATTTACAAAAGGAATAATATGCAAATTAATATGGTGTATATCAGGACTCAAAAAGCAAGTCAAAGTTCATACAGTTAAACTTGTTAAATACAAATATGCCATGATGGATATTGTGAATTCCCAGAATAGAGAAGTTATCTTGTATTCTCAGCAATATAAATTAAGCAAATTCCTTATATATAATGAATAAAATGGATGTAAGGAATTTTAAAAGGATATAGGATGTAATTTCTGTAAAACCAAGTTTTACTGTATTAGGTAATGCTCTTCGCTTTATGTTCAGTTCACTATATTCTGTTTATAGGTCTGAAGTGTACCAGTGTACCAGTTTCTCTTTGACCTGTGCCAACTCTGGTAACCCTGCCTTTGTCAAGGACACATGTACTTGTCGCTATCCCGAGGGTCTGGATCTCTCTATCGGATGTCCGACTCATTTTGATGGGGGGTATTTAACTTAGTACATATACGAGGGGCGTTCAATAAATAATGTCATCATGACATACAACACAGAAATCATATAACATTAAGCTTGACTTTCTCTAATTATTGAATCTTTAATGAATTGATAACAGTTTATATGACCACTTTTCATCGCATAATTTCATTGTGGGAAGCTGGAAAACAAGGGCTACTCGAGACACTGCATTAAAAATGAATGGTCAAGAATCAGTAAACTAGAGTAAAATTGAGCGCGTCATTTAAGCTGCTGTAAAACTTGTTAGTTTCCCAAAAATATATTAACTGAAATATGTGAAATTTACAGCAACTTATGTCTGTTTCATACACATATAAACAGGTGGATTTCAATTAACAAAAATTATATAATGGGCATCAAAAAATGGGTACCGATCTTGTCAACAAGGACATACAACAACCAATGTATATTAGCGATAATTCAACAAATTATCACTGACTATGTTTTATTGACTTTAAGTTTATATATAGCAAATTTGAAAGACATAATTTTGGGGGTAGTTCACACTGTTTTAAAGAAACATTTGATTGTAAAATGTTCAATACTTAAAGGTCACCCTATATTTTTAAAAATTACTGAAAGCGAGAGGGTAAAGAAAATCTAAACAATTATTTTTAAAAAATCAAAAATTGTTTTTTTCCACGTTTTTCTGAAATTCAAACATATCATGAATCTTGAATCCATTTTGCGTTAAACCCTCAAAACAAATTTAGAATAAGATGTATCTGACAAAACTGCAAAGGCCTAAGAAAAGCAAAAAAATTGCAAGAACACAAAAACAGTTTTATACGCTATTTTCTTAAATATTAGCGGTATTGTTGTTCGTATCCATATATAGGGAGGCAGTTCAATTTCTGGAGGAGTCTAGTAAGCAAAATATTTGCCAAAAAATTGAAAGGTTTATGAAAGGAAGGAAACAGAATGAGAAATTTACTACATTAAATTTCTTCCTGACAGCGTCCAAACCCACAGGCCATGAAGAGTAAAGGGTTTTGGGGTAAAGAGAAAGTAAATGTTTTGTCACATCAACAATATTCGAAAGACCTTTCAACCTTTGACTTGTTTCATTTCCCAAACTTAGGAAAACACCTTTCAGAAAGAAAAAAACAAGTACAGCAATTCATAGGATCTGCCATTTTCCAGTATACGAAGGGTCATACTCAAAACTGTGTTCTAAAAAAAATTAGAAATTGAATAAAAATGTTACGAACATGTATTTTAATTAAAAGAGAATATTTTAGTTAAATCATTAAGACAAAATCATAGAAAACCGTTTTTTGTTTCTTTCCGAGCCCCTCGTACATTATTTATTGAACGCCCCTCGTACAATGCTCTGTTTTCCTTTGGCTTTCAATAAGGTGTGGTGTTTTAGATGTTACATATTAAGCATCTGAAATTTACAAAGCTTTCATTCACTGTTGAAATATATATGGGAAAAAATTTGGGAGAATGTCAACGAGTGTAACAAATATTCAATAACAGCATCTCGCACGGCAAAGAGGTACGACTTAGGTCATTTCATCGTCGTCAACAAAAATTTTAAGTTCTGATGTTATAAATTTCTTAACAAATGAGAATCTATTTGCGATTTGGGATACTTTAACTACGTACATGTAGTGTCGAGAATGCCACACTTTTCTGAAAGTCCGGTAATGATAGAAAATTGTACAAAAAATTAAAAAATGTTCTTTTATTTTCAAAAATTCCTTCATTATTTTACATCAAATTGAATCTGCATACTCGGCATAAAAGTTTGGAGTGCCAAAAGACTAGCTCCATCATGACTTTTTTGTGTTATTTCTCCAAGACACGGTCAACTCAGGTCAAGGTCAAATAAGTCCTTACTTCAACCTAGCCAAACGGAGGCAAATGTAACAAATACATGTATATCTTATATAGATTAAAGAATAAGATGAATTAATTTCAGAAAAGCTTTTGGTACCTAATATTTATTTCTTCAGATCGAAGAACCCTGATCTGAATGATTTCAACAAAATGGCCGTCTGACACCTTTACCAGATTAAGTACCTGGATACATGTAACTGGCTGTCCCAGAGGGTTTTATGAAGGCAGTTTTACACATCATATTAAAGACACCAGGATGGACCACTCAAGTTCCACATTTAATGCTGACATCATTTCAAAGCCCACCTCTACATTTTACAAATTTTGTGCTTAGAAGAAAACGGAAGAAAATAGAATTTCGCCAAGCTGGCCTGCAGGAAAATATTGTATCTACCGCCAAGGAGGGGTTTGTCCCATTGGTAAATAATGCAGAAATAGATTTACCGCTATTTCTAATTTAATTTAATTTTCAAGCAAATGTAAACAAACAATCAAATTAAATCAAAAGCTGTGGATTCAATTTTTTTATTCACAAAATACTTAAAATTTTGCTGTCACTGTACCAGAAATATGATCACTATAATTACTTTCAAACATTTATATCTTAGGCTTCAGTGGTGGATATATACAGTATGATGACACCATGAATCCATAGCATTCAGATATTCTCGGCATTCTTCCTGAAGGTGACTTCACGGCTGACAGAGGTTCTATTTCTGTTGTTGCAGTGACTGATCTACATCATCTGGTTATCCTACCCTTAAAGGAGCCGTTTATCTTATTTCCAGACACCTCTGCTTGACAGTAAGTCACAGGTTCTAATTTTCGCAAGGGTTTTAATTTCATAAAATAATTAAAAAGGAAAAAAAGGGGGTAAATAAGGCCATGCAAAATTAATTCCTTGGTTCTCAGGCCTTTTTTCAAGAAATATGATGAGGGAGGGAGGCATTTTTTTTTTTTACTTTTTATTGCCCCCAAAACATGATGAGGCAGCTTTTTACATTGTACAAAACCTCAAAAAATGATGAGGGAGGTGATTTGTTGTTTTTATTTTATTGATTTAGCAATAAAAAGAATCAGTGAGGCACACTAAAAAAATGGAACAGATGAGGGAGGGCCTGAGAACCAAGAAATTAATTTTTTTTTGGCCCAATGACATGTTTTTTTTTTTTAAATATTAGCCTTTTTATCAAGTCAGTTTATAAAAATTGTCTTTGTATTTTATTTAAGGAATGCAAAGTTTTGATGGCAATGCAGAGTCAAGATATTGTGACAAAGACATGCCAGCTTGAAGAAGACCATCCAGTGTTCATGGTGTTCCACTCCATTTTTCAGAATTATGTGTCAGATTGAAATTCATCTTATGGTGCACAAAACAATCAGGATATTCTTATGGATCTAGTAAGTGTTTGTAAATAGGAATGAAAAAGATTTTACTCTTCCCTTGTATACTTCAGATTGGAACCTGAAAATGAGAAATGACCATGTAAATGCATTTTTTTAAATAGGTAAACAGTTCGTGTTACTTGTACTTGTAATATGGTAAGCATGATCTGAATTTTTATTATACCTTGAAATTTTACTTTACATACTGACAGACTTTCTTAAAGTATTTTCATACACTGAAATCTGTATGTCGGATTAAAATATGTTGAATCAATATTTTTTTTCAGATCCAAAGTATTGGCAGAACCAAAGAATACCTGATAGTCTGCAAATGGAGTGATCATTCTGATTGGATGAACCAGGCAACACTGATTATCTCAAGAAATTTTAGGCTAGAGACTCCATCTTCATTCATAAATGATTGATGTTGACATTTTCTCATGGGCTTTTGTTTCATATCTTCTTTTTCATAACATGAACACCATGCAGCATCAGTTATCCTGTAGTGTCAAAGTGTTTTATGTTCAAAGTAATTGATTCTGAGACTTATTTGAAATCTGTTATTAAACAAGCTGTAATAAAATCACGATAGCAATAAGCACAGTATTATTTTTACTTTGCATAGCAGAAGTCTTAATTCATGGAAAAATAATGAGGATTTACTTTGTCTATTTTAGACAGGTAGAGCTCTATTTTTCTATTAGCTGCAGAACTGTAGCTCTCTGAAAAAAATATTGGGGGCAAACCTGAGAGCTACAGTGCCACCCATTGAAAAAAAAAAACTGTATATATATTGCACACAAGAAATGTTTCCTGATTTATTTCTCCATGTTTTTTAACCGTCATCTCAAAATATTACTAACCGTGTGTACCTAACATATTTTTTCACTGTTTTCACAACAAAACATTCATTATAATTGATGTTAGTAGCCCTCCTGGACCTGAAATTGAGATCATCAAAAATTTCGTCTATTTATACTACCACTTTGGTTTGCAAAATATTTCGGTCTTGCAATGCTTCATGCAGTTGTAAACTACGAGTGTACTTGATACTAAGAGAAGTAGGGAAGAATTGATACAGAAGCAAGCACAAATTTTGTGCACAATAAATATACAGTTCTTTCAGTGGGTGGCACTGTAGCTCTCAGGTCTGTCAAAATATTTTTAGAGAGCTGCAGTTCTGCAGCTATTCATAATTCTTCTATGGAATCATCATTGTTTGAGGAAGGAGGACTAACATATTTGGATTGAACATCAAGTGAATCAGCTACATTTTTCTTTCCACAAATGCTTATTTGGATATTTTATAAGTCCACAGATTCATTTAATTATTATTTGGTTAACCTTTATAAATTATGTCCTGTCCACAAAACAAATTATATATTTATCTGTCCACAAAAACTGACTCCACAATCACATCAAAATAATTCCACAGCATTATACAATTTAAAAAAAAAGATATAAAAATATCTAAGACAAATATAAATGTATGTGTATTAGGGAATCGTCAATAATTAGTAAAATATCTTGACTAAAAATCTAACTCAAGATTATAACATGAAAAAATTCGTTAGGTGTAACACCTTCAGAAGACAGTTTCTGACTGGATACTTTGGATAACAGTTTGAGACTGTGAGTGAGGATTGTTGTGATGTGTGTAACAAGCAAAATACAAACAGTATAGAAACATTAAACCTTTGTTTTATGTCAGATATATGCAATAGTAGGCCAGAGCACATGCTAATTGTTGATAGAATTATGATAAAAAATCTGGGGTGCTTTTACTATATTAAATAAGGAGCGACATATAAAACATTGTATATCCTAACATAGATCATTCATATATACATTAGACTAGACAATAAAATTTTGATGTCGGTCCACGACAAAGGAAATATTGGGGGTCAATTTTGACTACCTCCACGTTCTTAAAATGTAAACATTTTTTAATCCAGTGATAACAGTGTAAATTTACGCAAAATAAATCAAATGAATAAAAAAATAAATAGAAAACAACTTTGGTTAACAGTAAGCATTGATGAAATAGTTGTCATGATGTAAAACAAATAGATATGAGCAATTATTTCTCGAGATGGTTACTTACTTTGTCCTCCATTTTGAAATTGCGCAACGTCTAACAGTGAATCAACCGATGCCTGACCTCAATGTAGAGAGTGCGCGAACGGAATTGTGGGAAGGGGACCAGACTAAATCTGACCCACATTTTCTGGATGAATGAACAGGTTAAAGTTTTTCTTTAACCTTCTTTTAAAATTTTCTTCTCTAGTCCTGGGTATTAAATAAACTATATAAATAAATAATTATGTTGAATACGACTGCCTCTTCCAAAATTGTGAATTTCATGGGCTCAGGATCAGGGGTTCCGGTGTTAGAGAGGGGCTCTATTGATTATACATGTATTGTGAAAATACAACAATTCTTTAAAAAATCTCCTCTTCTTCTCCTGAACTATGTACATAGTTATGATGAGGAAGGATGCCTCTTCCACATTTGTGAATTTCAGGGCCCCAGGGTTGGGGGTTTTGTTGTTAGGACGGGGTTCTAATAAATATATAGTTTTCGATTGACCAAGAGTTACTTCCCGTTGGCCGCCATACTGGAGGTCCAAATGCTCATATTCCTTCATTGTTCAACCAATTAAAAAATTTTATACTTGCTATTTTGAATTAGAAATCATTATTTTTCTGAAGTATATAAATTTTTGGAAGCCTCCTTTATTTAAAAAAAATTATTTGATAAAGATTTTCCACCAAATATTTCTGCTATATTTTCTTAAACTTGGTAAGACAAAGAGGGAAAATCACTGAGTCGACCTCCAATATGGCGGCCAACGGGAGGTAACTTTCGCTAAATTCAGGCCTATCGAAAACTATCTATATATAGTGAAAATGCATAAATTCTTCAAAAACCTTTTCCTTTGCTCCTGGGAATTATGCTAATGTTCTAAGTACATATTAATGATGATGAAAGGTGCCGATCTTCCATATTGGTTAATTTCAAGGCCCCTGGGTCAGGATACTTGAGAATGGAAGTGGGGGTAACATAGTCTGAAAATAAATTAATGCTTTGAAATCTGCTTTTTAATATTAATCAATCATTTATGATGAAAAAAAATTATGATAAAATTTCAAGAATTTTAAAATATGTGCCCCCAGGGTCAATGGTTCCTGTGGGGTGGGGTGCACAACTGGTTATAAAGTTGAAATGAATTTTCTCTTTGTTACACTTATCTACCTCTGGGTATTTAAAAGTAACAAAAGTAAGCAAGCTAAGTGTATAGTTATGATAAGCAATAGCACTTCTTTCAAAATTGTGAATTTCATGGCCAAGTGATTTAAAACACGAACCAATTCAATTGTTGGAAAGTTGTTACACAATACTCAGGTGACATATAAGGCCCATGGGCCTCTTGTTCAAGATTGCATTAATTTTAGTGGATTTGGCCCCACCCCTCCGGCCCCAGGGAGGCTAGGACCATGAAATTCACAATGTTTGTTTCCCTTCATCCATTTTCACTCATATGGAGATGCCACCACTTGCTGGTGGAGAGCTGCAAATTTTACCCTATATGACTCACCACTTATGTCCATTGAGCAGTGAAGGATCTTTTACGTGCCAGCACCTACTGCGACAAGGAACATTGGTTTATATGTTCTTATCTGTAGAACTGTTCTCCATGTCCCATTATTCAATTTTATTAGCTCATTTGCATAGAAATGCCTATATCTAGCCTTAATTAACGACAGACAATTTAAAAAAAACAAACAAAATGATGTGGTAATCAGACATTTATTATTTACTTTTTGATTAAAATTCATTCAGGAATGGTCTTAGTGTAAACAACTGTCCTCACAAATCAAGCTTTATAAATGGCAAATTAATATTCAGCTACAATATCTTAGAGATCAAGAAGGTGGGACAATAAGGTAAGCCAAAAAATATATACATGTTTATGGAATTTGGAATATTGACTTGAAAAGCATGATATAAACAAGAAAAATCTGTTTGATTGAAAGACCAGAACATTAACCATGAAAAAGGGGCTTAAAATAAACAATTCATATGAAAAAAAAATTCTGAATTATTGATATGTACATATATATATACACAGTAAAACTCGTTTAGTACAAACACTGATACTGCAAATTCACAGATACTAAGCAAAGTTATTCTGAACCTCAGCTATATAAAGAATTCCTTATAGTTATACGGATATAACGAATTATGGATACATGTATAGAGAAGTAATTTCGTAACTCCCAGTGACTTCAATATAACCGAGTTTTACTGTATATATTTGCTTTTTTTTTTTTTTAAGTGAATGGATGAAATTTCAAAACTCTGAACAACCAAAATTATGGATAAGAGAATAAAACTACTGTTTACACAACCAAATGTAAATATTCTACTGTGATAGTATAGCACCTCCTATAAATTATGAATAAATTAACAACACTGAAATTTTTTTAATATTACCCCACTTTAAAAATAAGTAATGTCATATAATACTGAAATAATTATTTTAAAGTCATTTCTTTTGAGTTCTTCTGAGGCATAACCAGATTTTAAGACATATACTAAACTTTAATCATAAAAAAATAAAAATACAGATAGCATAAATATGGATGAAAAAATAGATAGAAAATTTCCAATGTCAATTACAACCCACAAACACGAGCATAAAATGAATTTTCTGGGCACTGCAACATACCTAAATAACAAGAGGATGAACTTCCAACAATATTCAAGCTGTCTGTTAATGAATGCTGACAACATTCACAACAAGCAAAATACTTTCTGCAGATCCGGTAAATTTGTATTTTTCTACAGTATCACAATTATAGCTTGGTTTTTCTGGTTATATCTCATTCAATACATTTAAGGAATGTTTTTAATTTTTGTGTGAGTTATTGGTTTGGGAATCACACAGACATCTTGTCACATAGGCATATTTCATGAGACATGCAAGTCTGTGTGATTCACACACCAATAATTCACACTAAACTAAAAACATTCCTTTTATTTACAATTTGCATGTTTGGACGCACCAAAAATATACTCAATATTTGAATTTCTTGCTGCCCTATATAGTTATCCTTTTACTAATGTCACTGTAGCCTTGTTGTGATGTCACTTTAACGCACGTTTCTCTGTGTATACGAGAGCCGTTCAAAAATTACGCGGACTTGTTGCACATAAAAAATATTTGATGATATAATAGGGCAAAATGGTACACATAATATAAAAGAATCTTTACTTATATAGTCTTCAAAATTTCATATCAAAATGTTGTAAATTGATATCAATTTTGGGTGATTTAATTATCAGGACATATCATTAAGTCAACGAGCAGCAAAATCATGGACATGGACATTAAAAAGAACTTTCATTTTCTCAACATGTTCCAAAGAGTTCCTGTACAGTTTGACTGTTTGAGTTATATTATCTACTCAACAACCACACACCACTTAAATTCTATAAAACAAGTAAAGCATATATTCTTTTTTTGTTTTAAAACCGAAAAACTACAAATATTTATGAGATATATAGTGTGACATTGGTCCTCAAATATGTTCTTTACAGTCCGGATAAAGTTTTCACCAATAATCTTCTTTCCATCCTCCCATTTAGCCTTTTTACAGAGGTTTAATGGTCTAAAATTACAGTTTGCTATTTGTATACAACTGTCACAAATACCTTATTTTACTAAATGTTTTACTATGCATATTTTGGATCTATATTGGTGATATCTCGGGTATCACATATAATACTTAACAAAAGTGCATAGTGCCCCATCAATTCATGTCATTTTCACAGGCATTGCGTCAGAGAAAAATCACTATATTTCTGTTAGTACTTCAAATATCATGTCAGAAATCTAAATACATAGTAATAGAATAATATAAAGAAACATTTGAGAAAATTGTCGAAAAATATCATGAATTACAGAAAATTATTGAGTTATATTTTGAATTCTGCATGCCTTTGTTTCAAATTTTTTGTTGTGCTCCATACATACATGTACCTCTCCATGAGCAATATCAACACAGCAATAATTTTAGGAGAATTTTTTTAAAATACAGAAATTTTGCTAAAAATTTCTTGGAATCTTTAAGATACATATTTCTGTGAAATGTCATAACTATATGATGTCTGTAAGAGGAAATAATAGCAGAGTCTGCGTAATTTTTGAACGGCCCTTGTATTTCTATGCGCAAATATACCCGTAAACGATATTCAAATCAATTTCACAGTTGGATTAGTAGAAAAACAAAGCGAATGTAAATATTTATTTATATCAATTACTATAATCTTACGAAATATTTGTTTTCAGAAAATTCTATAAGGGCTATTGTCTACCAAATTTTCTCCAAAACTTTGAAAAATTTTGAAATCTTTTAAAATTTAAAAAGGAGGTAAATAACATTATACCGGTATATATTTTCCACCAGACGCAAAATGAATTTGCTATAACTGTATCTGTAAATTCATCATATCAGAGTTTGTAATAACAATAAGATTTTACAAGGAATTATATTCAGAAATTTTGTCAGGGATTCTTGAACACTTTACTAAATCTGTAAATTTGCTCTACCTGCTACACTCCCTACATAACTGTAGAAATAATCTTCTTCATTGTTGGCTTTTCAAAGATAAATACATGTATATCTATCCGTATATACTGATTCCTTGAATTGAAAAAAATCTATGAATAAGTAAATTTCTAAAAATTTGTGAAATGGATACATAATCTATCTTAATCTTTAAAAAAATCTTAATCCTTAAAATACATATACATTTACATTTCATAAACATTTAATTATCAAAAACTATTATTAGTTTATTTCCAATAGTTAAATAATAGCTGGACCCTATTTTACAAAAGAACTTACGACTAAGACTAAATTATGTTTTTTGCAACTAACATATGTATTGTCCTCTTAAAGCTGAACACTTCTCATAAATAGGCACCATCAGACGGGAATATAAGCCTTTCGATTTCATTACAACCAATTACACACTTGAAAATTGTGGCCGACATATAGTACTCCTTTCGTGGTCTTAGATTTTTTGCGTTTAATCCTTGTTTATATGTGCATTTTCTGTTTGTAAATAATGTATTGATTTCTATTTCTTTTTGATACTTTTCTCCTGTTTTGGAAAAATTGCATAAAATTTGATGATTTCATTGTGACCAAGTAGCATGGCAGTGTAAGATGTATGTCTTCACTCGTCTGACCTCTACAAAGATTACATTTAACTCTTAACAAATCTGCTCCTTATATAGGGGTTGTAGGGGACAGTGTAAATGACAAAGGAAATATGGCGGACTATGCCTTTTACGAGTAGTGTTCAGCTTTAACATTAATGTCAAATATCCAATTTCTAAAGAATTATGAAAAACATTTTTCAAAGTTATTTCTATCTTACTGAGTACACAGTTTCTTAAAAATAAAATTACTGTAGATCACTTAATTTTCGAGAAACCTTATTTTCGCGAGATACACTGTAGTCATTGACTCTTTATTAGCGAGACGAAATTTTCACGAATTGTGGTCATTGCACTTTATAATGTTAAGGAAATCTATCATACGCAAAAATGAAATTTTCGCGAGCATACTGTCTCAAGTAATTACGCGAAAATAAAGTTCTTGCGAATAAAAAGTGATTTACAGTATTAATCTAAGTCATATGAGTGCTTTTGTAAAACATAGCCAAGAATCTTCAAATATAACCTGAAAACTTTCTTAATGGCCATTTACACTTGCATCACATGGAATGTTGGTTGAGGTCTTTTCACAGTTGGAATTCTGATCCAATTTTTCTAATCGTCCTTCTGAATTGCGCTTTGCCATTTTTTCTGCAATTATGGAATTTTCTACAGGAAGATAGCAGCACCATTCTGCATGTTTATCAGATAGGAACTCCATACTGTCTAGAAACTTTTTTCCACTAAACCCTCCAACAGCAAACAAGCGCTTATCACAGGTTACCACCCCCACATTAGCGCGAGGAATGCTTAGTGATGGACCCATTACCCAGCCTCGGTCCGGGGTCAAGATCTCGGTGGACTTGAGAGACTGCGACCCATCACTGCCTCCTGTCAGGTATATAGTGCCTGTAAGTAATACAGATAAAACTAAAATTTACAGCATATGCTAGATATATTTAATTTCAAGAGACCATAAAAAATGTTTTAAACACTTGAATTTCAATAACATTTTGGTACACAGTATTACTTAATTAGGATGTGTAATATGTTACATGCATGCTCATTATTTACAGTAGCTTAAAGTATGTTACACAATTAGTCAAAATTTTATTTCTTTTAAGATAATTGTATCACAAAACAAAACATTTGTGTGACATTATATAAATGGTGCCTGTTTTGAAGGTAGCAGTTGAAATTGACACCCCAAGGAAAACCATTATCAACCGACGAGTAAGCGGAGGTTGACAATGGTTTTCTGATGGGTGTCATTAATGATATATAGTTTATCATACAAGTAAAAATTTATGCTAATTAAACATTAAAAAATTCATTGATGTATCAAGCAGTTTTAATTTTATGGTGCTAGTCCACCAACATTTCAAACAACCCTCGTAGATTTCACATTTATGTTTCCATCATTTAAGTGTAAAATAAGAATGGAGACTTGACCCAACCATGTTCAAAATTCAGTTTTCATGTCTCTAGTAAACCCATTTTCCACTAAATATGCTTAACTGTCAACCTTGAAAATAAGATTGTCAAATGATAAGCAGTTCAGTAAAATAAAATAAAATGTTTTAAAGATGACATTTCAGAGAAGATGATTTTAGAAAAAAATAAATTTTTCCGTGAATTTTGAAAACTGAGAATTTAACATACATGTATATCTCAGACCAGGGGATTGTCCCTGCCTTGTACGCCCTCTTTCTTTGACAAAACTGCATGATCCCGTTGCAAAAGCCAGTGATGCTTAGCATTATTTAATACTTTTATGTGATAAAATATATCAAACTCTACTTCTAAGATATTGTTTAATAATTCTGATATAGAGAGTTAATAAATTTAGGAAATTTATTTTTCTCAAAGCAACTGTGACCCAACTCTCATATAGCTTAAGTGCAATGATTCTTTAAAAGTAAATGCAAAAGACTTTGTATTGACTGACTGTAAAGACCTAATTTGTCTTAATTTTAGCATTTGAACTCATTATTTGTAGACTGCATGTATATTTTAGTCTGATCAAAGTCCTTTTTAAACCTAAATTAGTTGAGTCAAAAGATCAATTTTATCTTAAAGACAAACCATTAAAAACATCACAACCCGCTCCACGTCGCGGTATGCTCAGCTGTGGACCTAACTGCCATTTCTTCACCTCTGGATCATAGATCTCCACTGAATTTAAGCAAATCCATGCATCGGTACCACCAATAACATAAATCTTCCCCATGAATGTACAAACAGCTGCCTGGTACCTTGCTATTGAGAATGGAAATAAAAAAAACTATGTAACAGAAAAAAAAATGATGTAGTCAATCAGTTACTCTGTTTAACAACTAACCTTACCCAGGCAGCTCGCAACCTCACTTTTCTAAGCATACATTGTGCTTAGTATTCAAATATTTACATTTTCAATGTCTTTGACTAAGAAAAAACTTAAATATCCTCATCATTGAGCTATTTGCTCAGCTTTGACAAGTCTGTATGCTTGCAGATAACTGAATTAATTTTTTTTTAATTAATGAAACATATGTAGATAACAAACAGTATTCAAGATCAAAAGTCCATACAACAATACAAAATAGGAGCAGAGCAAAAGTGGACCTCCAAAACATCAGAGGCGGGATCAGGTGCCATGAAGGAGTGAACATCCCCTGCTGACTGGTCACACCTGCTGTGTGCTCCTTGTCATGTTCGGGAAATAACTGAACAAGAGGCTCATGGGCCACATTGCTCACCTGAATGTCTTTGACTGTGCTGTTCCTTAACCTTAAGTTTCAGCTTTTCTGGTCCAGTGGTTCTTGAGAAGATTTTTTAATGACCCCACCTTATTTTTGTCTTTTCTTGATTATCTCCCCTTTTGAGAAAACTTGATACTTCATTTTAATAATTTAGACTGCCTTTCACCAAAGAATGCTTTGTACCAAGTTTGGTTAAAATTGGTCCAGTGTTTCTTGAGAAGAAGTCGAAAATGTGAAAAGTTTACAGACGGACAGCCAGCTAGAAGGACGGAGGATGGACAAAATGTGATCAGAAAAATTCATTTGAGCCTTTGGCCCAGGTGAGCTAAAAGTCATCGTCAATTTGGTGTATACTGTGAAATCACTAATTTTCAAAGAGGTTTAATTTTCGTTGTTTTCAAGGTATGAAGAGACCCTTGAATTTATGTCCACTATGAAATGGAATTTTTCACATATATCACCACTGAACAATTGTTTATCCACAAAATCAAATCCCCTTGAACCAATATATTTTCATCAAATCATGGAAATTTGATCCCTCAAAATTATGTGATATTACAGTAAATAATGGACTAACAATTAGTATGAAAAATGTCAGCATTTCACTCAATAATAAATTGTATTCGCTGACAAGGTCATTGCATCGACCATAGAACTTATGAAATGATGACTTTAAACAAGACTGCCGATATTCTTGTTTCGTCAACTTGTTTGTCAATAATTTCCTTCGTTTTAGAAATTGTTCATATATAAAGCATGCTTTTGCATAATGAATCAACTGAGATATATAAACTCTGTATGCAGGTGATGAAGGTATACTGCTGCATAAGTAAGGGAAGTTGACAATTGTAAAGTTAAAGTCATCACATAAATTAGGAATTAAATCAAATGTAAATAGAAGGGAAAACTGTCTGGGATTATTCTTACATTACTAAACAAAAAAAAGATGACCTTGGACCTCCCACCCCTCCCCTAGAGAATGTGTATCTGTGTTAAGTGGACAAGAAAGTAATAGATATGAAGGTTTGGAAGTGAATGACCCCCCTATCTCAAGTTACAATGAAATCAGACCAATTCTGTCAGAGAAGTAGCATTTTGAAACATGTTTATGGACAGATAGATAGCAAGACAGATGGACTGGCAACTGAAACCTTACTATTCCATAAACACTTCTGGTCTCAGAGCAATAGAGCTAACAAGAAACATTCACCTGAGCAAATTTTAGAAAGGGGGGGTGTTGAATTTAATACTACTTGGGAATGCTTTCATATTAATACAGCATATGACTTTGCTGTTCTTGATAAATATTGATAGATATTTTAAAAACATTTTCTTCCTATTTATATATAAAAATAAATTTGATTCCCCATTGTTTCCCTCCCTACCCCAAAGGACCATGATTTGAATAAATTTAAATCAGGATTTGAATAATAATAATTCTACACTATCAGTAAATGCTTCCATATTTAGTATCACTAATCATGGCTTTGCTTTTCTTGAGAATAAGATTTTTAAAAATATATTTAATGTTAAACTTGGATTCCCCATTGTGACCCCACCCTACCCCTGGGGGTCATAATTTGAACAAACTAGAATCAACACTACCTGAGAATGATTCCATATAAATATCACTAATCATGGCTTTGAAGTACCTGAGAAGACAATCTTAAAAGATTTCCCTATCAAGTCCTACATGTATGTAAAACTTTGATCAGCCATTTTGGCCCCATCCTACCCCAGGGGGTCTTAATTTGAACAAACTTGAATATACACCATCTGAGGATGATTCCACATGAGTTTCATCTTTCCTGGCCTAGTGGTTCTTCAGAAGATGATTTTTAAAGATTTTCCCTTTATACTCCTATGTAAAACTTTGGTCGGCCATTATGGCCCCACCCTACCCCCGGGGTCATGATTTGAACAAATTTGAATCTACACTACCTGAGGATGCTTCCACATGAGTTTCATCTTTCCTGGCACAGTGGTTATTGAGAAGAGGATTTTTAAAGATTGTCCCTATATACTCCTATGTAAAACTTTGGTCGGCCATTGTGGCCCCACCCTACCCCAGGGGGTCATGATTTGAACTAACTTGAATCTACACTACCTGAGGATGCTTCCACATGAGTTTCATCTTTCCTGGCCCAGTGGTTCTTGGGAAGAAGATTTTTTTAAAGATTTTCCCTATATACTCCTATGTAATATATATGATTTGAACAAACTTGAATCTACACTACCTGAGGATGCTTTCAATTTCCTGGCCCAGTGGTTCTTGAGAAGACGATTTTTAAAGATTTTCCCTATATACTCCTATGTAAAACTTTGGTCGGCCACTGTAGCCCCCTCCTACCCCCGGGGGTCATGATTTGAACAAACTTAAATCTACACTACCTGAGGATGCTTCCACATGAGTTTCATCTTTCCTGGCCGAGTGGTTCTTGAGAAGAAGATTTTTTTAAAATGCCATTAATTTTTCACTAATTCATCATTATCTCCCCTTGGAAGAGGGTGTGGCCCTTCATTTGAACAAACTTGAATCCCCTTTACCTAAGGATACTTTGTGGCAAGTTTGGTTGAAATTGGCCCAGTGGTTCTTGAGAAGAAGATGAAAATGTGAAAAGTTTACGACGCTGACGCCGACGACGACAGACGACGGACAAATTTTGATCAGAAAAGCTCACTTGAGCCTTCGGCTCAGGTGAGCTAAAAATTACCAGTTTTATGACGTTACTTAGAAACAGATTTTACTTTTGGGTCAATATATATAAAATTTTGTACAAACCTGTAATCAGGGGAGCAATAGTATCCCATTCATTGGTTTTGGGGTCGTACACATGGCACTCATTAGAACTCTTTTGTCCCAAACATCCTCCAATGCAGTATAGTTTTTCATGCAATGAAGCCAATCCTATACATAAATAAACACAGAATATAAACACATAATATATATATTTATCCCACTTCAGACAAATTTGTAGATTACTGATTGGATAAAAGCTAATCACATGACGCCCTGAAATTTTCCGTATTACGTCGCCGTCAAGGAGTAATATCAAAATCGGGCATGCGATTACGTTCGAAGCATTGCCATTGTAAATAAAAATGTCGGCTAAGCAACAGTTTGCGTAGGTAGTTTTGTAAAATTTCTTGTTACAATATTTTATGTTGATTGTTAATGGATTAAAAGTTGATATTTTCATAACATGCACATAATTGTTTTTAAATATTTAAAAAGGTCTTCAGCGGGATAAATTTGTAACACAGTCAGTTAGGGACCTAATACGGAGTCATACAGGGTGTGAAATGGAAATCAGTATTGGGACTTGGCTTCGCCTCGCCCAATACGGATTTCCATTTCACACCCTGTATGACTCCATATTAGGTCCCTAACTGACTGTGTAACTAATATTTCAATGTTGTTAAAAAATTATGCCTGATATTTTACAATTCAATCTTGATTACAACAAAAAGTTACACATTCTTCTCTGTTAATAATTTACCTTGAGAAACTTTGGCATTCCGTACTTCTCCATGAGTTATCCACATCTTTTTTTCTGGATCATAGTATTCCAATGCACTTTGCTCCCTAAATCCATCTGACCCCCCAACTGCATAGATGAAACCTCTTACTGAAGCCACATTAAATCGTCCTCTTGGCACCGTCATGTCTGCTAGTGGAATCCACTTATTGTTGTTGGAATCGAATCTCTCAGATGTTCTAAGACATTCTGATCGGTCATATCCACCTAAGAAAATTATTAAAAGTCCTTCTATTTCACAAAAAAACTCACAATTATCTTTGCATGGACTTGAATTTCAAAGTTTTACTTGCTAGGTTGCATTTTTTTTACGGTATTTGTTTCTTTCCAAGCACCAATGACATTATTTATTGAACAGCCATCGTAAGAAGTTTCCACTTAAGTTTCAATTTTTCTGGCCCAGTAGTTCTTGAGAAGATGGCTTTTAAATATTTTTCCCATATGTTTCAATGTAAAAACTTAAGATATCCTCTTAGTGGCCCTTTTACCCCTGGGGCCATGAATTAAAAAAATTAAGATCTATGCTATCCAAGGATGCTTCACACAAGTTTTAGCTTTTCTGGCCTTTTTGTTCTGGAGAAGAAGATCAAAATGTGAAGTTAATAGTAAGACTTTACGAATGGATAAAAGACAAGGTAATCAGAATAGCTCAATTGAATTTTCAGCTCAGGTGAGCTAAAATGAACTTGAAAATGTTGGCAAATCATTTGCTTTAGTGCATTTCTTGAGAGAAATTTTGAATTTTTTCCCTTCATAGCCTAATGATAAATTTTGTGGCTCACATCCCCTTGGACCATTCCTCAGAAAATTTAGAATGTACTTTATGTCTGGAAACTTTCATATAGGCTTTATTGTTTCTGGTCTAGTTGACATATTTTTTAGAGATTGATTACATTATAATAATTGAATTTATAAATTTGATTCCATTTTGTGGCCTGGCCTATTCCAAGGGATTTGAACAATTTGAAAAATCTATTATGCGAAATTTTCCTTGAGCTTTTAGCTCCAGTGAGCTATGAACTATATGACTGTATCTCTTAATAATTTTAACTAACCGGATTCTTAAAAACTCAAGACTATTAACAATATTTTTAATAGAGATTACTTACCACATGCAACTAGCTGCCCATCTAAAACCTCCAAGCCAAATGCACAGCGAGCTGTACTCATGACTGCCAAGGGTGTGAGAGAGGACCTACTGTCAAAGAACTTGTTGGGAGTCACTGAAGCAGTCACTGGTGAGTCAGGTTCATCTGGACTGGTACTGCCACTTCGAGCAGATGGAGCACGGTAGTGAACAGAAATAGCTGCCATCACACCATTTAACATAGCTAGTGCCAGATATGATTTATCTGCCAAAAGAAATTAGAATTTTAGGGAAGGATTAAGTTTGATAATGATCATTACCTGCATCTAAACTAAAACTCTGTCCAGGAAATCTTAAAATATATTCTAAGTCAAAAGAATATATGCAGACTTCAACCTTTTTTTTTTTTGCTGTGACCTCATGTTAAATACATTGTATGACAGAAATTGAATTATGAATGGATTGCAGTTCTATATTATTTCCAATAAAATGCACCTTTCATTTGATGTGTTGCAATGATACTCCACTCCTTCCTTGAAACAGGTCCACTTGGATTAATACTAAACTTTCTGACTTGTCCAACACTGCTATTTGAAATATGCATGTCTGTCCCCTCCTTTGTTTTTGTGGCAATCATCTTTGAGAAAAAATAGAGTTTAATAAATTGACCAGACATCGTCAGAAATGTTCATGGTCAATGTCAATCTAATTTTCAGTCAATCGAAGACCTATGAAGGGTTTCATAAATTTATATATTATTTTTTCTAATTGCCATTGTCAGAGCGTTGTTCTACAGTGTAGTGATTGCATCTAAACTACAACTCTCACTCTACTGTTACAAGTATGATCGAGTTATGATAGACACAGTAAACAAATGGAGGAAATGGATAAATACAGTAATACTGGTCAATATCATCGGTTGTTCAGATAAAACTGGATTGAAGAATGTAAAAGTAAAGCCAAGATTAAGAAATTCAATCTTTAAAGTCTTGTAGTATTCGTGTTTATTTTGTAATTACTTTACCGTCTTTAAGGTTGTTTGTATTACAGTAATCGGTCCCAAAATGTTATTCATGTCATTCGACACACCCTCTCTGTAGAAATTCATCCGCAACAACCATAACGTTTTTCTTGCGTAAAAAATAAACATAATATCGTTGTTTTGTAGTAGAATTAATTGAAGATACAATTGATTTAATTTTATATTCAAGCTATTATTCATTGTGAACTTTTTCAAAGAAATTGGTTTACAGCTGTTGCTATTTTCTATTGCGGATGCATCCACTGACACATTCGGTCGCGTAAATCTGACCGATCACTAGATGACGATCGAGCTTTGCTCGACGCCATAAAAATATAATGACTTGTTTAATGTGAAAATTTCTGTTTATTTAGTATTATACAATTACTTAATATCTGATCAGTCCACAGACCAGAATATATTCCCAAGGAACTGAGAAAAGCTCAATGTGTTCTATTGCCCAAGACCAAATGTGAAACTTTGAGATATCCAGAGTTACATGTAAATCATTTTATTGTCAATTTTACAGCCCTTTGGCAATGAATATTAAACAAATTCACATTACATATCTACAGAATTTTTTTGTGGTTTTGTGGGCTGGGCTAATCCTCTATCTTTTTGTAATTATTTTAGTATTATGCCTTCATTGTTTGTTCTCTTACCTTCTTCTTGCTCTTTTTGTAATCCTGTACAATACCATCCTGATCCTTCACAACATCATCACTCACGTCCTTGAAGTCTGTTAAACTGTTGTCAGTGTTTAAATTCAGAACATTCACCTGAAAATGATTATAGTTTGAAAACTTTATAGAATGCTGAACTCATTATATATTAGAAGTGCTCAAACAAATAACAACTTTCAAAATTGCTTGTCATCCACCAAAAATTATAAACAGAAATGGTGTTTTGTTTCTTGATCATTAGAGCCATGTTTCAGCTCCAGACAGAGAAGTATTCCAAAGTTGTGTTTATCTTACCTGTATCTTACCAGACAGAGAAGTATTCCAAAGTTGTGTTTATCTTACCAGACAGAGAGGTATTCCAAAGTTGTGTTTATCTTACCTGTATCTTACCAGACAGAGAAGTATCCATAATTGTGTCTATCTTACCTGTTCTGTCAGATCTTCAATTCTTGGTTTCTTTGGATCGATATTTTCTCTTGCCCAAGCCAAAACTAACTCAAACATATGCTTATCATTACTAGATTCTAATAAATCCTGGTCAGCTCCTGCAATATACACATACACTATGATAATAGACCCAATAAACACAGCAACATGAACTGCATAACTCTACAATTTAAGTTTCACCACTATAAGGGAGTTTCTGGCACCTTATTTTTTGTCCCCCGCTTTCACTGAAAGTGGGGGATATTGATTTAGGACTGTCTGTCCCTCTGTCCCTCCCTCTGTCCGTCCGTCTTTCTGTCTCTTTGTAACCCTTTTGTTTCCACAGGATATATCTTAAAAACCCTTTAAGCTTTTGCAATGAAACTTGGCATAGCAACTCCAAGTAGCCTAAAAAAGAACCCTATTGATTTAGAGGTCAAAAGGTCAAGGTCATATATTAATAAATTCTGTCTCATTTAACACTTTCATTCTTGTGCAATATCTCGAGAATACTTTGAACTTTTGTAATCATCATGATATTTTATATAACAACTCCCTGTAGCCTAAGGAAGACCCCTATTGATTTTGAGGTCAAAAGGTCAAAGTTCAAGGTTGTAGATAAATACATTCTGTCTGTGTATATCACTTTCGTTTCCGGGCGATATCTCAAGAAGATTTTGAGCTTTTGCAATGAAATTTTACATCAAAACTCCCTACAGCCTCTCTCACCCCTCTCAAAGTGGCCCACCCAATTTTTTTTTTAAGTAATTATTGTATTAAATGTCGCTTGGCACTATTTTTAGCACAGGGGAATGTGGAGAGTTATTACATAAAATACAGGTTGTCCGCAGACTTTTTATTCTTATAACATCTATCAGAACTGTTTTAATAAAGGCTTAATTAGACACCATGCATTGTGTAAAATTCTGACAATATCGAACGTGAATATATATGCATGTATGAGGCCTAATGTTTGCATATAATTTACAGTAGAAGAGAACAATTGACTCTAGAGGATATAGCTTGAATATAAAAAAAGGAAGCTAACTGCAATCAGAGTAGGTGCCAATTCACAAATATTTTGTGGATCTTTGAAGAGGTACAGTAGAATCCCGCTATTACGGTGACGGTTTGATAAGATAGAATGCTTATTATGTTGTAAATTCAAAGCACAAAACCATTTCTTAACATATCTATACAAAAAAGAACCGTTTATTACGTTGTCCAAATCAGCCGGGTCTCAGTATTACGATGTAAAAATTCTGTCATTTTTTTTTCACTCCGTGTTTATTCAGTGTTGATTGAAGGTAGACACTTAAGGAGACGCTAAATAAACACTGGAACACCTGTGCTCTGACAGAGTGTTAACTTACAGCAGGGACGTAGCATCCGGGGGGGCCAGGGGGGCCTGGCCCCCCCACTTTTTTGGCCAACATTACCTTTCCTATAGGAAATGTTCGCTGAAAGAAAGGTTGGCCCCCCCACTTTTTACCACAGTATAGTGTTATCAAGGAATTGTTGGAAAAAAATTGGAAGTGAAAGTAATTTGGCTTTGAAAAAGTTGGCCATTAACCCCCCCCCCCCCCCCCCCCCCCCCCCCCCACGAAATAGGATTTTCGACTTTGGGTGACATTTAACTTTTGCGAACATTTTTTTTTTTTTTTTTTTTTTTTTTTTTTTTTTTTTTTTTTTTTTTTTTTTTTTTTTTTTTTTTTTTGTCAATTTTTTCAGGTAAGTAAAAAAAAATTTTTCTCTGGTTGGCCCCCCCACTTTCAAAAACGATGCTACGTGCCTGTACAGGGTGTGTATCATCACCACTACATTTTCAAAATTTTCATTACCGCTACATAGTCATTACTGCTGCCAAAAAACTTACATTACCGCTACATAAAAAAAGTACACCTTACCGTTACTTTGCCCCTTTCATTAGCCAGCCACTTATGCATGTACAGTACAACCTATACGTGCATAAGACCCGTTTCCCCTGCTCACCACGGGTAGGTGAAAGTAGGACTTTGAACAGGATGGGTTTTTTTTTTTTATTAGAATCAATTTTATTTCATAAAACACAAAAAAATTAAAATCAAGCACTGTTCATAGATAAAATTCTAATTTTTGTCAAATGTTTTTTACACTATCGGTAAAGCCTTGAAAGCCATTTGCTTTACATGTTGTTGCCTTGTCATTTCCCCACTGTCGTATTTAGCTTTCAGTTCCTTTTTTGTGTTGTGTTGTTGATTCTCCTTTCGTCCTGGGAGAATCCCGTTTCTTGCAGCACGCATTTTCAAGTAACTTTTTGTCTGGACAGACTGAATCTTGGCCAAAAAAATCAAAAATGCTCAGATGTGAACTATAAAACATTGTGTCGAACTCTTTGTGAAAAATTTCATACTCAACATCCGCATTTGCCCAAATTGCAGGTGGAAATGACGATGTGCTTTGGAAAACACATCAAACACAAAGCACTCTTCAACTTCTTGAGGATCCAAAAAACCCAAACCAAAGAAAACTTTCAAACACTGTCCAAATTCTGTTGATTAGAACTCATATGCCAAACCATACTTGGCTAAATCGATACGTAGCGGTAATGAGTTGTTTTTGGCTGATTCAATACGTAGCGGTAATGAGTAGTTTTTTTGCCGGAAAAATGTAGCGGTAATGATCGGTCAAAAATCTCAAAAAATGTAGCGATAATGAGTTGAAATTTTTGGCAATGTAGCGGTAATGTTGACCTCCCAACTTACAGGGCAGTTAGGTGATTCGTGAAGCTTGATTTCACATACCTGGACTGTTCTGCGAGAAAAGTTTAGAATATTTTTATCAGCTTTAAAATGTGATAATTTTAATGAAAATTTATTGAGAAGAATTCGCTTAGTTAAAAATATCGTAAGAATGTAACAGTTTAGGATTAGCTCCCCTCACCAAAGTAAAATTATTGCAGCAATATTGCTGCTATATTGCGGCAACATTGCATCAACACATTTTTGTCACCAGAAACAAGCTTTTTGGGTTAGTGAAATATCACCACTAGCTGCAACAACTTCTGGTGACTTTCTGGCAATACTGCCAGAAAAAACTTTCTGGCAACATCTAGGATTATCCATTATACAGGCATTTTTGAACATGCTCAGTCATTTAGTTCCTCTTTTTCACCAAAGTTGGAGGGAATTCAAAGGCAAGCATGTTTTGCTTCATTATTGACTTGTATCAAGTAAATTGGAGTTGTTAATTGTGTAAAATGGGATTAGACAAGATAGGTAGTAATTAAGACTGAATAATGTGGAACGGCCAGGAAAAAAAAGAATTTCAGCAGTTTCCATGGCATGGCCTTTTGAAAGAATTAAAGGAATGTCGACTCTGTTTTCATGGTATATATATATATCAGACTTGGTAAGACAAAACATTATCTTTTTGTGATGAATGATTCCATGGAGATAAAATAGGAAAAATTATATGTACAGTGAAAACTGTCTAATCCGACACCTGAATAATCCGACACACTGTGAATTCCGACGTTAAATTTCTTTCTCATTTTACTATTTTCCTTGTTTTTAACACTGTGCAATCCGACACCCTGTCTATTCCGACACAAAATCTGTCTCCCATAGCATGTCGGATTAGGCAGGTTTCACTGTATTGTGATGCATGTATACTGGACTTGTACATCTATCCAAGCTGATGTTGCAGGAAAAGTTGAATGCATGTTATTAATTAAATGCAGGGACACATATAATTAACTGATTGCATAAATTTGAATACCAATGAAAGAAAATTGAATCTATGTAAGTTGGAAATTATATACAAATGGGCAAACTAATCTATTAAGGGTCCTCCATACCATGTGACTTGTGACATATATCAAGACAAGAGGCCCATGGGCCACATCACTCACCTGAGAAGCTTTGACCATTCTGTTCTTTACCAGATTTCCCCATTGTAATACATATTGTGACCCCACCCTACCCAACTAATCATAATTTAGACAATTTGAAATCTACACTACCCCAGGATGCTTCCACATAAGTTTCAGCTTTTCTGGCCGAGTGATTCTTGAGAAGAAGATTTTCAAAGATTTTTCCTATATATTTCTATGTAAAACTTTGATTCCCCATTGTGGCCCCGCCCAACCCCCCGAGGGTCATGATTTGAACAATTTAGAATCTATACTACCCCAGGATGCTTCCACATTAGTTTCAGCTTTTCCATACATGTTAACCTATTGTGATGAAAAATAGGGACCACAAAAGCGGTAGCATTGCGCGCGTTGTTTTATGCTTGGATTTATGAAGATATATTGCATGTAATATACATGTATGGCCTTAAATGAAAAAAACAATAATTAATCTTAAATATCTTTTGCACAGAAATAGACAAAAACAAATTAAGTTTTACATAAATTATACATATTCAAATATTTTTTATGCTCATCGTTTTGCTTTGATTGGCTACTTAATTAACTTGGCCTTTTGAAGAGTGATCTTTGCTGATATAGCCTAGAAGCAATAATTCTGAATCTAGTGAATGTTCATTCAGTTGTCAAACACAACAAATGATAACATGGTTTAATCTAGATCTAAAACTAATCCTTATCTTTCGTTTAATAAATCGAATTTCCCGCAATGATCGAAAACGAAAGTAGAGATGTGCCTCATGGCTTGGTCAATCGAGTGATTTCTATTGACTTTATTGATAAAATTGCGAGCTCCTATGCTTTTATAGATGATGTCAAACGTTTTCATCCGATTCTAAAATGCTGTTTCTCCTTTTTCATGGCAGTTATGTCGACAAAATTTATCGTAACCAATGTAATCACTTATTTTTGTGCTGTTGTCGTTGTCAAATACGTGCTTGAAATCTATGTACACATCGGTACAAAAAAAGCGTTTGTATGCTTCCGGGTCAAATCACGCGATATCTAACGAGATTTCATGACAAGTGGCTTCAAAAATGGATACCCAAGCGAACCAAAAATACTTTAGACAAAACTTTTGTAGAAAAGTGGTAGATTTACAAATAAAATCGGTAGGCGGGAGATGTAGTAAAAAAGCGGTAGACTCCCGCCTAAATCGGTAGAGTTAACATGTATGGCTTTTCTGGCCCAGTGATTCTTGAGAAGAAGATTTTTTAATGACCCCACCCTATTTTTGTCTTTTCTTGATTATCTCCCCTTGTGAGGAGACTTGGCCCTTCATTTTAACAATTTAAATTCCCCTTCACCCAAGGATGCTTTGTACCAAGTTTGGTCAAAATTGGCCCAGTGGTTCTTGAGAAGAAGTCGAAAATGTGAAAAGTTTACAGACGGACGGACAGACAGACGGATGGACGACGGACAAAATGTGATCAGAAAAGCTCACTTCAGCCTTCGCCTCAGGTAAGCTAAAAAAAATACTTTTACTTTCGGTTTTATGTAGTTTGTACATTGAAGAATTGTCTAGCACCGCTTGTAAGAGAGTCTTTCAAATGCTTTAGAGATAAAGGTTTTGTCAAGGGAAAAGTATGCAGTACACTAAGAGCGACACCTTAATCATATACAATGAACACATGGCATGGTCACGGAGTGACCGATAGAAAAAGATGTTCATTTTTTTTCTATAAAAGAACGACAAACGACTGGGTTTATGTTACATAATAATTCGTAAACAAACAGGTGTCGGTATGACAAGAACTTTTGGGTTATTTATAGTGTTGGCAGATCGGACGATTTTTAGTAACCGGTTACTCGCTTCATCTTCCGATCGAGTACCCGGTTACTCGGATGATTTTTGGTAAAATTATCAATATCTATTATTTATCTTATTCTATACTTATCGGTAGTAGTAATGCACAAATATACTGTATAGGAGGAACATTATATTTAAAATACACACATACGATATCGTCAAAGATTTGCGATTTTAAAATAAAGAAAATTAATAGGGAATTCGACAAACAAAGACAAATTAATCACCATTTTACACTTTCTTTCTCAGCCCCCGAAATATGTCGCAATCAAGGAGAATAATTATTTATATACTCCATATTTAATAGTTGATATGTGGAGTGTCCAGTAAATCGCTGGTTACCGAATAATTTAAACTTATGTGATATAACAGATTTTGAATCAGCTGATCTTTTGTTACAACTCCAAGCTTATTATGTCTGCGGCGGCATCTCGTTAAAATATCAAATGAGGTAATTATAACTCAGGCCTTCAAAATATGTATACCCCAAGCCATCAATTATATAAACTGTGAAAACTAATCAAAACAGTTTGAATCACTACAAACATGCACTAGATCAAGTCTAACCTAAAATTAGGGAAATATGTAAGTTAAATTACATTTATAAATTATAAAACATTCATTTTCTATGCCTTTACTATGCATAATTTATTTTACCGAGTAACCGAATAGCAGTTTTACTAACCGATACTCGCAACGTTCGACGGTTAACCGGGTACTAGTTGCCAACACTAGTTATTTATACTTTCAGGCTGTTTGAGTCCCAGGCAACAGGAAAGATAACTCCATAAAGGAACTTTGCCCATGGAAAAATAGTCATCAAACTATTTACCAGAAGCATTCTATTTCCTTGTTTTTCATCACAAAACTTGTAAGGTTTGTGGAATTGTGACATATCTGGTTTGTGAAATAACAAATGTCAGTTTGGATATAACAAAACACTTATTTACTGTGTATTAGGACAATTGCAAGTTTATCTTCCCCCTGGACAGCAACTATTGACGAGAGGGAGGAGAAACTTGCTATTGTCCAACAGGTGTATAATATACCTGTTATTTCCACTGGTATCTGAGGTAAGCCATAAAACTTCTTGTTGCTTGTGACAGCCATAATATTCCTCTGTATGAAGTCATCAATGGTTTTTCGCAATTCTTCATCCTCTGCAAACTTGCGTATTCCTGAAAATTGATGATTATATACCATCATAAATCGATCCATTTGCACATCTCTCAAACGTCAAAACTGCTTACAAATTTATTCAGTTACTAATTGTTTCTTTTTCTGATTATTTACATCAAGGATAGTGATCCTTCTTAGACCTATAGATTCTAGTCAATGTCAAGTGAATCTTAATTGATGACAATCAGACAAACATGTACTGATCAAAGCTTACTGACATCCTTGTTATGTGATACGCAATGATATCTGTAAAAAAGATCTGGCAACAATCAAGGTGATCAGAAGTATCCCTGAGCATCTGAATATATATTATCAAAAATTCTATTTTAAATCATGGTTTTTAATTTGGGTATTTCTCTTTTTTTTTTCCCTCTAATATTGAGACTTTTTTTAAAAATACAAGCTAAGCTTCAGATGCCCAGTTATTCAGAGAGGGATTCCACAATCATCTTAGAATGTATTGAATTAACATTTATATACATTTTTTGGTAAATCAAAAATGAAAATACTTTTAAAAGTAATGAATCTTACCGTAAAAATTGACAAAATAAAATTGTCCAAGTCCTATTTTTCTCTCAGATTTCTACTTGAAATGAAATTAAAAAGTGTTATAATCCTAGAGACTTTAAAATCTGTGTACTATTTTTGCCTCCAGACAGTGCTTACCATATCTAAAACTTTCTTTTTAGCTCATGAAATCCCTCAGTTTAGATTCCTAGACAGAACAATATTCTGTTCACCAAAATATTCCTCTGACAAACACTGGTTACCAAGTAACAACACCCATATTGCCATGGCAATGCATGGAACCCATGGGTGGTACTTGAAAGGAAGAAGGTAGAGAGGGTGAAAAGTCTGCCCTGGGGTAGGAAACCATGTACCTAGGCAGTTATCACTTGTCAGACTGGCTGCCAGGAAACTGCAACAGGCAGTTGCTGCATCCTTCAGTTTCAGGAAAGTGGCCATTCTATAGACAGGCTTGACACTTTCCTCTGGTACATCAAGTCTGAAATAAATCTTCATTTTGTTAAAAATCATACTTATGACACATCAATAAGATAATAATTTAGTTAAATGTTATAACGGACTTTTTCGTTATTTCCCGATCACGACAAGGAGCACACGGCAGGTGTGACCTGTCAGCAGGGGATGCTAACTCCTAAATGGCACCTAATCCCACCTTTGATGATCCCAAGGTCCTGTTTGCTCTGCTCCTATTATGTATTGTTTATTGGACTTTTGAGCTTGTATTCTATTCAATTTCTCCATATACTTCATGTAAAACTAAGAGTCCCTATTGTGACCCCTTCCTTACCCCAAACTCCAAAGGCCATTATTTTAACAATTGTATCTTCACTATCCCAGACTTACACATAAATTTCAGTCTAAAAGCCTCTGGAAAAAGTTTGGTTCTTGGGTCCAAAAAAATCCATGTTGCCCTTGAACCCAGTGAATAAATGTATATTGTTACATAACAATATAAGACAGGAATTTGAATACAGGTTTTACAAAGTGGACAAAATCCAGTAACAGCAGTGTGTAAGAATATTCTAGACTAAGCAAGAAGTAAGAATCTGAATGAAAAACATGCATCATTTACCTTCCTGTGTAGGTGTAATCAAGTAAATACTCAAAACTTTGATGGTCCTCTACATCTTTCAGAACAAAGGTAATCTCTTTTTCCTTTGTCTCAAACATGTTCAGGAAAAATGGGCTAGCAGAAGCAAGGACTGCACGATGTACTGGATAATCGTGGGCCCCCACCACAAGGCAGGCATCACAAAGCTGCTTTTCTTTGCGCAATTTACATAGACTGGAGAGTAAATCTTTCTCGTAGCCGGGTTTTTCATAGCTCAGTGGAGCTCTTGTGTTTTCTGTGGCTTCAGACTCCTCCTCCATCTTTTATATTAGTTACTCAGTACTGAATGCTCAGGAACAATGCTTATCCATCTGCAATAATGGTAAAACATAAAAAATATATTTGTTTTAAAAAAAAATATGAACCATTAAAAAAAAATTATATAAATAAAATATATCAAACTAACAAAAAAATCATGTTTTGTGTCTTCATGCATCAACAAAACTTACACATAACAATATAAAATGACATTTCATTTCCTTAGGTGGAAAAAGCCAATTAATATATGGCAGATATAGTATTTACATGTATATGATCCCTGTAAAAATGAAATATAATAATACAACAGCTAGTTTCAAGAAATCTAGTGAACAAATTCCCGGATTACAAAGTCAATGACCCCAACCAAAACGACCTGACTAAACAGGCGGTGTATAAAACTTCCAAGTCAGTGACCCTAAGATTCCAGTAAACATGCTGTATTTCATACTTCATACTAGAATTTATGTAGATCATTAAGATATTTTTACTAACCTACTCTTTCTTCACAACTAAAAGAATTAGTACACATGTCATGCACATCTACTGATAATTTAATTGGCATTCATTCATTCATGCACCTCTTGTGCACATAATACATGTACATGATTGGAAAACAAAATAGAGAGTATATGTGTGCTAATATACTGTAAAGATTCTTTTTTCCAGAGTCATAATTCTGCAGAATCACATTTTCCATTCAATCTAAGAGAGAAAACAAGATGTGTTTGTGAAACACTGATGCCCCCGTATGGCAACTTAGCAAAGATGCAAATTTAATTTTAATTGGTACCAAAAGTAGGGTATTCTCACTGGAAAAACAATTGTGAAATTTGAAAGTAGACCAATGTTAAATTTTTTCAGTAAGTACAAAAAAAGTACAAGGTCAAAAGGTCAAGGTAATAAATTGGTATCCAATGAAAGGTCTTGGCACATAGAATACTTATGTAGAGTATGGAAGCCCTAGCCCTAACCATTCAAAAGTTCTGGCCAAGGTTAAAATTTTTTAAAAGTAGGCCAAACTCCAAGGTCAAAGGGTCAAGGTTGTTGGTATCCAATGAAAGGTCTTTCAACAAAGAATACATATGTGAAGTATAAATGTCCTGGTATCTACTGTTCAAAAGATATGGCCAAAGTAAAAGTTTAAAATTTTCATGTAAAAGTGGGTCAAACTCCAAGGTCAAGTTCAAAGGGTCAAATTTGGTGGTACATGTACCCAAAGAAAGACCTTTTCACAAGGAATACACATGTGAAATATGAAAGTCAAGGCTCCACTAAATCAAAAGTTATGGGCAAGTTTAAAGTTTTTGCTGACAAACAGACAGACAGAGAGACAGACAGACAGACAGGACAAAAACTATATACCCTCGAAACTTTGTTTACGGGGGCATAATAATGTAGATTTCTTGAAATGCCATTGTACGTTTTAAATATACTTTAGGTAAACTGTCTGAAACTTCATCAGAAAAAATTGTGACTGCATACTGTACTTCATATGTTAATCCCCCACATACACATACAGAATATTATTATCTTCTGATCAATATTAAAACATCATCCCAATCCCATCTTCAATTAACTAACAATTAGTGTTGTTACAAGTCATCATCAAAAAAAACCCTCACTGAACACATTGTTTCCAAACAAACAATTCAAAATTTTAAAATTGATAGTTGTAAAGAAACTGGTTTTACAAGACAAAGGACATTCCCTTGCTCTGAGCTCTGAGTCTCAATTTTAAAAATTCATGAAAAGTTATTTTTTCTAGAATTATATATTAAGTCATGTTATTTTCAAAATGTTTGATAAATTTACTGTAAACGTATTACATTTGGTGGTGTATTCTTTTTAGCGTTTTTGGCGGAAAGAAACTTCTGCTAATTCAAGTACAACGCTAAATGTCTTAAACATATATATATTAACTAATCTAAGAGCCGAGCTTGTTGCAAAGCAACGAGTAGGTCATCAGTCGGAGCTGCGGACAAGGAGAAGTGACCTTGAGTCAAGTTCTTTCCACATTCTTATGTTAAAGCAATCATTTAAGGGTATATATCATCTTATAATGTTTTACTATTAAAAAAAGGATAGTAAAGGAATGTTTGTGACCTTGACCTTGTCAAAATGACCTTGTGTCACACCATGACACACGCTGGTGATGAGCATATCCCATTTGTGAGCTACCATATTGACAAATTCACACGTTCTTTCAGACAATGCATCCAGCCAAAACATCTTATCCTTGATTCAAGGCCATGACACGTTCAGAATTTTTTCGAAAGGCCTTGTCACAGCTAATATACATGTGTAAAACCAGGTGTGAATGCGCTACCCTTTCTCTTTTAAGCAATGTTAAAATTTTGGAAAAGCAGGTTAAACTTCAAGGTCAAAGTTCATTACATACTTAATCTAGTATCTGAAATGATTTTATCACAGGAAATGTATATGTGATTTCTGTGTAATATGAAAGCTCTTATAATTATTCTCTTCTCATTCAAAAGTTACGACCAAGGTTAAAATTGTGAAAAGTAAGTCAAGCCTCAAGGTCACAGAGTCAAAAATCAGTGTATTTAGAAAAGTGTTGTCACACAGGACTAAAATAAAAGCCCTATCTCTTCTCATTAAAAGGTATGACTATTGTTAATGATTTTGAAAAGCAGGTCAAACTTCAAGGTCAAGGAGTCAAAAATCATAGTGAATTTTGAAAGGCCTTGTCACAGGTAATGCATGTTTATAAAATGGAAGCTTTCAAAAGTTATGGTCAATTTAAAGTAATGGTATTTTTTTAAGTAGGTCAAGCTTCCAGATCAAGGTCACAGGGTCAAAAATCACAGTATATTTGAAAATCTCATGTCACAAACAATGCACATGTGAAATATGAAAGTCCTTTTTAAACTCATTCAAAAGTTATTATCAAGTTTAAAGTTCTTGTTACAGATGGACAGACTGGCTGAAGAATAAGGTTTAATGTACGGTACTTTTTCAATTGAATGTAAAACTATTTCTTTTTTCGTGTGCATATATAACATGAATACTTTTCATCTACAAAGCTTTTCTTACTGTGCGTATCCACGATTTTGTATCAATATTAAATCATAATTATTCAAGGGATTTTGTTACCTCCCTTGTTATTGTATTTTTTCAAAATGTGAGTCATTCTCTGAAGATTTCCCTGCAGTGTCGATATGTTTGATGAAGATTCATGTTTGCTCAAGCTTTAGTCAGTGCTGTCCTTGCCATTGTGTATATACAAGACATTAATTTGTCTGTAATCTTATCAATTTCATGTACTGAAATGATGGTCAAACAATCTACATGTACAAGAAGGTCAATCCACTGTCCTCCCAAACTCCTTCAAAAATGGACAATTCACTAATTATCATTTTAATATTTTTAGAAATTCAAGCATTTTTTCTTGGCAGGGTGTGCGTGCAGTTTCATTCAATTTTATCAAATGATACTCATGTTATTTTATTTAAACAAAAATAATTGTCTAGTTTTTTGGTGTTGTGATGTAATCAAACTATTGGCTTGCATAATAATTTGCATAAAGGCTTAGAGCAGAGGAACCCATAGGACATATGGAAGGAAATATGGAATGATGGACACCTTGATCACTACATACCTCTCACTTTTCAAAGGGTTAAGCCTTATAATGATATCATTGCAAATGAAAAATTAATGTTGAGAATTTCAAATATTGGGGGGGGGGGGAGGTTAGAGCAAAGGGTCATTACCCCTTAGTCCATCAATAAAATAACAAACTCAGAGTCCAAATATGAACTTTAGCTGCATGTAAAAGTTTCTTAATAGGATACTTTTACATGTCAGTTTCCTCTAAATACATTTGGCCAAAAGATTTTGAAACAAGAGGCCCACGGGCCACATCGCTCACCTGAGAATCTTTTGTCATATTGTTCTTTACCAGATTTCCCCCTTGTAATACATATTGTGACCCCACCCTACCCCAATGATCATAATTTACACAATTTGAAATCTACACTACCAAGGATGCTTCCACATAAGTTTCAGCTTTCCTGGTCCAGTGGTTCTTGAGAAGAAGATTTTCAAAGATTTTTCCTATATATTTCTATGTAAAATTTTGATTCCCCACTGTGGCCCCGCCCTACCCCCAGGGGTCATGATTTGAACAATTTAGATTCTACACTACCCAAGGGTGCTTCCACATAAGTTTCAGCTTTTCTGGTCCAGTGGTTCTTGAGAAGAAGATTTTCAAAGATTTTTCCTATATATTTCTATGTAAAACTTTGATTCCCCATTGTGGCCCCGCCTTACCCTCAGGGGTCATGATTTGAACAATTTAGAATCTACACTACACCAGGATGCTTCCACATAAGTTTCAGCTTTACTGGCCCAGTGGGTCTTGAGAAGTAGATTTTTTAAGATTTTTCCTATATATTTCTATGTAAAACTTTGATTCACCATTGTGGCCCCGCCCAACCCCCGGGGGTCATGATTTGAACAATTTAGAATCTACACTACCCCACAATGCTTCCACATGAATTTCAGCTTTTCTCATGTGCCCAGTGGTTCTTGAGAAGAAGATTTTCAAAGATTTTTCCTATATATTTCTATGTAAAACTTTGATTCCCCATTTTGGCCCCGCCCAACCCCCGGGGGTCATGATTTGAACAATTTAGAATCTACACTATCCCAGGGTGCTTCCATGTAAGTTTCAGCCTAATTGGCCAAGTGGTTCTTGAGAAGAAGATTTTTTAATGACCCCACCCTATTTTTGTCTTTTCTTGATTATCTCCCTTGTGAGGGGACTTGGCCCTTCATTTTTACAATATAAATTCCCCTTCACCCAAGGATGCTTTGTACCAAGTTTGGTCAAAATTGGCCAAGTGGTTCTTGAGGAGAAGTCGAAAATGTGAAAAGTTTACAGACGGACAGACAGACAGACAGCTAGACGGACAGCTAGATGGACGGACGACGGACAAAATATGATCAGAAAAGCTCACTTTGGCTCAGGTGAGCTAAAAACTACCTTGTAAATTAATGGATTTCAAAATCTTTTCGACTCAAGTTTATTCCATT